TTGGATCTCCTGCCATTGTTGCTTCTCTCGCTGCAGTTCAGACATACCTGACAGAAGTCCTCAAGGTCATGGACAAAGGATTCCTCAACGATGGATCCATGCCACCCTCCAAGAAAAGAAAGCTGTAAGAAGAAAAGATGTTCCCTGTTGTGTAAATAAAGTGCTTTCTGTGACAGTGTCTTGTATGTTGACTTGATGCCTAGAATTTATAAAATTGTGATTTTAGTTATTGTTTGACTTCAATGCACATTCCTATTGCTTACTAAGTTGATGTTTGTGTTTCCTTTGTTTGTAATCTATTTTTTCAAGGATCAGCAATTCCAGACTCATTGTGATCTTCAATAACTTACATTAGAGATTTATGATGTGTACTTTTTCATGAATATTACTTTGTATGTTATATTTCATTGAATAAATGATAGCATGATACTTATGAAGGTTTTTGTATTATTTTGCTAGTTTACACACTTAAAATGGACAAGAAGTATGATGTTAATCCTATAGATGTTTTGACATTCCCGGTTAAAATACTGTGTACAGGGTTATTTTTGCCCTGCTTTATTTTCTCCCTTTTACACTTGCAAACAATTTTGCCCCATCTTAAATTATTCCAGTCACAATTCTGTTTAAGAAATTATAATGTATTCTTTAAATTTGCTCCATTTTAAATTCACCCAACCAAGGATAGGGCAAAAGGTCCGAAAATAAAAATGTGAGGAAAATTTCCTCATATACAGTATTTGAAAAGATCCCTTTTCTAGAATCAGGAACTTACAGGCTTGTGTTACCGTACTTGGTCATTACTTGTTACAGTACATACTGACTTTTATGACTTGTTACAGAATATATCAGCTTTTGTAACCTGAGTCATTACTTGTTACAGTTGGGCTTAGAAGGTGTAGTCCAGGATGACTTTACCACAGAGACCGTAGAAATGACGGGTACTACAGACTTCCTGTCCCAGCCGGCGGCCCTCACAGAGGAAGTCCAGTTAGTAATGGATTCTGTCTCCCTCGGAGATCGCACCATTCAGAGCACCGAAACTGTCACCGTGGAAACCACACAGACGGTGGATCCAGCTGAAGTCAGTCTGGATGAGTTTGTGGTCATGGATAACCCCATCCCAGGTAACACATGGTATACATTTAGAAAAAGTCCTGTTTATGAGTCTTGTAAGCCCTGTTCACATGTGCTGATTTACTCAGTGGGTGCAAATTACAAATTAACTGGGTGTAAATTTGAGCATATTAATGCAATTGCATATATGCAAAAGTAAGTAAGTAAAATTTATGTCATACATGTATAACACATTTTCAATCAGCCCCTAAATACTTGAACCAAATCAGTTGCATACATTCCCTCCCTCTTTTACATAAAATAGATTATATGAATAAAATACAATTTTGATCAGACTTCCATTTCATGCAGGTACTAGTGTAAGTGAAACCCACAGTGTTGATCCCTTGAGTAGTTCTGATCCCACAGGCTTGGCTAGGTTGGGGAAAAGGAAAAGGAAAGTTCCAGCTGCATTGGAGGATAGCCCCACCCCCCTGCCTGGTGGTGGCTGGAACAGAGCATGTCTGGGGTAGGGTTGATTATCTTATAACCTATCATCAGGAGATTGGTGGTTAAGTTGATGATTTTGAGAAAGTTAAGCAAGTTATTGGGGGTTTTGGAAGATAAAGGTAATGAAAATGAAGTTGAATTAATTTCAGCTTTTCAAATCATTCAAAAGATTGTGATTTTGACTTGTAGGATAATACAGAAAGTGATGAAATACAGAGGATTGAACAGACACAAAGATGACCTCAATGCCTCAACATGGTTTTTAGAACCAGGTAGGTATATCTTTAACTGTTAACAAACAATTTTAGCTTTAAAAATGTGTCCCATTGTTTTATAGTATTTGCACATGCATAAGAATGTTTATAGTAAATAACAATATTTCAACCAAAGAATAGGAATTTTTATCAACAACATGTTAACATGCCAATGGCTTTATTTCTGTAGTGGACCCAGAGGATGCCCCAGATTACTACACAATCATAAAAAATCCTATGGACTTTGGAACAATCAAAAAGAAATTAGAGGTTGGTTACAGTGATAGTCCCTCTTCTATTAATTGAAGCAGGACTCCATTGAATTTACAAATTGAAAGAGACTAATAATAATAAAGAGTATTTTTGTTTCGAATGATGCAAGGAAATTTTTTTCCAATTCTAATTAAATCACAAGATTATATGTACTTCTTGTTACAGACCCATACTTATTCTGATTATGAAGATTTCCACTCGGACATGCTGCTGGTCCGAGACAACTGTCGCGTGTACAACCCCCCAGGGAGTGTGGTCCGCAGGGATTGTGATGAGGTGTTCGCTTACTACATGTCAGAGTACGAAAGAATCCTAGAGAAATGGCAAAAGGTTAAAAAAAAAACATTTTTCTTTTATAAAATTTGTTCAAATGTTTCACTCTTTCATTTTAGTAAGTTTATTGCCTTTACATACTGAATCAGCATGTTTTGATTAAACACTTGTATGCAGTTTCTTTGTAGATTGACTAAAAAATTATGATCAGTCTATGATTTTACACTATTTTAAATTATAGGCTCACATATCTTCACCCTCCTCCAAGAAACTAAAGTTTGAAAGTAGAAGTCCGAAGATGTGAACCTACATTTCTCCAACTCAGACCCATGTGCCAAATTTCCTCTGCTCCTGATGATGGAGTCATATACTGCCAGATTTTGTTATTTCATGTTTTTATGTTCCTTTGTTGTTTGATTACTGTTTTATCCATTTTATGCCAGAACATTTTGATTAATTTGTTAAATTTCAGTAAATCATTAAGAGTGGATCATGCACATTTTAAAAGGATGATCATTAAATGTTGTTAAAATTTTCATTTATTTTGTGCAATACTTAGGATCTCAGATTTTACTGGATGTTGGTTCTAAATTTCTATGTCTGCTAAAAAATATTAACTATCAAATTAAATGGACACGTTATTTGGAATCTGACAGTAAAATTAGTGTAGGAATCCTAGATATTTTTGATATTGCTGTTTATGATTTAAAACAAAGATGTTGAAGATTATATTGACTATTACTATTACAGGTTGAAACACATGCTAGTACTGTATGCTGTACTTGCATGTTTTTATTACTAAATATTAAAATGTAAAAATATGAGTGTTTTTCTTTTGTTTGTTGTCGTAAATTGCAGTTGGTTTTACTTTTCAATTTTATCATTGCAATTCAGACTTTTTTGGACCATTGTATTTCTAACACACACCCCTTACAACATAATCTGGAATTGTGTTTGATGTACTACACGTATGTCCATGGTTGATTGACCTCTAAGAACTATTGAATGATAATGCACATTATCTACAGAGAAAAAAAATACGATGCATTTATATTTAAAATTTTCCAGCAGACTAGATTGATGAAAAATTTAGACCTTGAGTTTCGTGAACTTCAAGAATGCTGAAATATATTCCACAGTTACAAGACTAATTATTATGCCCCCCCCCCCCATTGCTTTGTTGCAGTCTGTCGGTCTACCATCACTTTCTGTTCCTTTTCTTCGCAGAGATTGCAATTAATGTAATGAAATTTGGTACTCGATTAATCGAAAAAATATCTAGATCAAGTTATGTCCCTCGGACTTGCTTTGCTTTTACAAACATGTCTTGTTTCTTGGATTGTCCAACCGTTGGCATGAATCACATTTACATGGCCATTTTTCCTCTTTCTTGCAAACTGTTCAATAGATTGGTCAAATATTCTTTTTTATAATTGTAATATATTGAAACCATTTGGTACGTCCGATGTCTGTCTGTAGACGAGATTTTGTCGATTACTCGGTAACTATTGGAAGGATTTGTCTAAAATTTGTACACATATTATTCACCATATGAAGTTGTGCACCTTTTCATCTTGATTGGATTATTATTTTGAATTTTACAGGTGTTTTTTCATTTTTATTTTGTGTTTTTGTCTGCGTTTCTCAGAAACTATTGCAAGGTTTTAAAATTTGTACACTTATTATTCAATATAAGTGTGCACCTGTTTTCTCTTTTTGTTAATTTTTTTGCATTTTACAGGTTTTATTTTTTATTTTAATTGACTTGTTCATTTTGGGCTTGTATAAGGTTTGAGATATAGAATTACTGTTCAAAAATATGAATCATCATCAAGTGTTAAAAAACAGTTTTTACATTGCACAGGTAATGTAATTTCATTTGTCTCTTGGGAATAATGACTGGACATGCATCCAGTTAAAGATAAATTAATGAGTTTGGTGTTGGAAGTTGTTAAGGCATATCTCTTATCAAGCGTGTGTGTTATCTAATCTTTTTAAGATCTCTCTTCTCTTTTTGTAATTTATTTTGGATGACCAGCTCTTTATTTTCAAAATGCATTTCAAATTGATCTATCAAGATTAATTTGATTTTGTATAATGGGTTTTTTTCAACAATCAGTTTGCAGAGTGACATAACACATAATTGCAATATATTTTTTTAATGCAGAAATAAAAAAAATAAAATGAAAAAATTAAAAAAAAATGTTACAATGGAATTAAATTGTATTAGTAAAATTTGTTTCAAACATTGAGCAATAATATTTCACTGCAAATATTTGTATAAATTGTGAACCATTACAGTATTTTTTTTTCTCTGAAAAACCCAGCGGGGGGTGGTCCCTATTATTCTAAATTTTTTTTTTATTTTGGGAGTTTTTCTTGGGTTCAGGATTCTTTATATTTTTGAAAATTTTATTTCTGAAAATTAAACATTAAAGATTTCAATTTTCTAAGAAGTTATGTACAGGCATGTAATACTCCAAAAATATTTCAGAATATATTTGTTATTGGGTAGGATGCTTTACGGAATTTGTTGATAGCAAACCTTATGGTTTCAAAGTTTCAAACTTCCGCTTTTCAATCCCGGATTCACCGGTTTTACTTTTATACTCTCTATGAATCGGTGAAAGTAAGCGCTTGTAAAGAACGAGAAATTATGCTAAATAACAAAGCTTCAAATTGACATCGAGTGTTTTTGTACACGTTTTTTGACACAATTGTCCGAATCATGAAAATGGACCAGTAACATTTTAGAAGGAAGTCTGGGACCTTGACTGTGTGTGAAAATGGGCGGAAATAAAAGGAATACAGTCAGGTGGACAGACACGCCAAAGGAAACAAACGCATTCGGAGAGCAGCGGAGATCCTGAAAAGCAAAACGAATCTTCCAATAAAACGGTGACAAAACCGCGTAGAAAACCTAAAAATGATCAATCACAGCCGAGAAGAATGGCATTGGCTATTGTTTTTGTATTGGTTATAATGTTAGGAGGAACTGTATACATGTTTTACCAAATGTACCTGCAGGAGTTAGTTGTTACCCCACTCAACGTACCAAAAATGATTTCACAGAATGTGTCATCTGTTATGGTAAACCCTGAAAAATTTTGGGGAACCTATCGATCTAATCTTTATTTTGGCCTTAAAACACGTTCTCCAACATCCCCAGTGGTAGGATTGATGTGGTTAGAGCAGTCGGGAAATATGGAGATTCGGCACTGGTGTAGTCAGGATGACAGATTGCCACAGTATGGATGGCTTAAACATGATGGGACTAATTTTGGTATCCAAGATGTAGTAGAGAGACATTTTAATGTAACAACATCTTTTGTCAAGCAGCCAGGAGGGGAACATGGTGGGGACTGGACAGCTCGTATTTCAGCAATTCCAAAAGTAAGATATATAAAATACACACATTTTCTAGTATTGTTTTATTTTTTTGTGTGAAAAGAGAGTATCGATGTTTTATTATCCCAAAGTCAGATGTTAAAATACTTGATAGTATTGTTTTATTATGTAAAGTATCGATGCAGGTAAAATATCATAAATACAATTTATTTATAATTGTAAAAATTGTTTTTTACCCCACCACCACCACCAAAGAAAAAAGCTGTTATTTTTTTTTATTTCACAAATTCTGCTTATTTAACAAATACAGCCCATGCAATATTGCTCAAATGCAGTTGAATAAACCATATGTATAACTTCACGTTAAAAATTATGTAATATTAATGAATTACATGTACCTGAGGATAAAAACTTACAATGTCATCCCATCTGTTGAAGGCTCATTGCACCATTGATCATGAAGCAATCACATAATATTTTAATTTAATTTTGATAGATGTTTCTGAAGTTTTAAATTTTTATTAATTATTACATATAATTTTGTACAATGTATTTTCTATCTTTCAGGATGTCAACAGACCTGTTTTAGTATCTCTCATGTTTTATATTGCCTTAGATGGACAAGGCACACTAAATCCCAATATAGCAAGGACCAGGATGGATGCAGTCAGTGGACATTCTGTTGAGCTTGGAAACTTTAAATTATCATTCCCAAAAGCCATGAAAGGTGTAGGAGTTAAATACAACCATCTTATTTCATATGCCTCTAGGCTGGACAAGCTTAAAGATTTGTTACAAAATTCTCTGAGGACAGATAGCTTTGATAAAGGAAGAACGATTCCGTACCTTACTTTAGCAGGACGTCTGCTTCCAAAAGATAGCCCAGCTCCAAATTTCATAGTTCACCAGGTTACAGCGCAATTACCATTAGAAATGGAGGTTGTGTTTGAGTCAGGGAGCAATTATAATCGCCATGATTCCCTTCAAGGTGAACTGTACACACACAAACTTGAAAAATTCTCAAAAAGTTTCGACAATAAATTCTCTGAAGTATTCAATTTAGAAAACAAAAAATACAATGGACATGAAATTGCTTTTGCAAAAGCAGCACTAAGTAATATGATAGGCAGCATTGGATATTTCTATGGGTCTTCCATAGTGCAATCAAAGTACAACAAAGAGCCCATTTATTATTGGCCTGCTCCTCTATACACAGCAGTTCCTTCCAGATCCTTCTTTCCAAGGGGATTTTTATGGGATGAAGGTTTCCACAATCTTCTTATAAGTCAATGGGATCCTGATATAGCAAAGGACATTATTGCTCATTGGTTGGACTTGCTTAACATTGAAGGATGGATTCCAAGAGAACAGATTCTTGGTGTTGAGGCCAGAGCCAGGGTTCCAGATGAGTTTGTAGTTCAGAGAAATGAGAATGCTAATCCACCTACATTATTTTTACCACTTCAGCGTTTAATCAAAGACATGATAACCAGTCATGATCCGTCAGACAAACAGTTCTTGAAAACAGTGTTTCCTAGATTACAAAAGTGGTTTAGCTGGTTTAACACAACACAAGTAGGAAGTGAACCACTAACTTATTACTGGAGAGGGAGAGATGATAAGACAAATAGAGAATTAAATCCTAAAACTCTAACATCAGGCCTGGACGACTATCCTAGAGCATCTCACCCCAACTCAAAGGAGAGACACGTAGACTTGAGGTGCTGGATGGCACTGGCATCAGGGATTCTAGCTGACATCGCAAAGGAACTTGGGGAGAACGGGAAGGAGTACGAGGCTACACACAAGGTTCTGACAGATAATGATCTCCTGGACAAACTGCACTGGTCACCGAAGAAGGAACGTTACTGTGACTATGGACTTCATTCAGACAGAGTTCTCCTAATGAAACCCAAACCACCAAAAAATTTACAGCCAGGACAACCCTTCAATCAAGACAAGATCCGAGATGTGAAGACACCACCCCAGATGCAGTTTGTAGAGTCTTTTGGATATGTTTCTTTATTTCCACTAATGTTAAAAATAGTAGAGCCAAGTTCTTTAAAACTTTATAAAATCTTGAATGACCTCACCAATACAGAATTGCTGTGGACTAATTATGGACTTCGATCTCTAGCTAGGAATGCTCCTCAATATCAAAAAAGAAACACTGAACATGATCCTCCCTATTGGAGAGGGGCTATCTGGATTAATATGAACTACCTTACTCTAAGTGCTTTACATCACTATTCAAACACTCCAGGTCCCTACCAGCAGTTAGCACAGGGAATCTATAAGGATCTACGTGCAAATGTAGTCAATAATATAATAAAAGAATACTATAGGACAGGCTATGTTTATGAACAGTATAATGATAGAACGGGTGAAGGCAAAGGAAGTCATCCTTTTACGGGATGGTCAGCTCTGGTTGTACTAATAATGGCAGAAAAATATTAGTCATTCAAATGCATTTCTATTACTCAATGTGTTCAAATAAATTTTTGTAATACTGTCTCAGTTTAAAACTAATATAACTTACTAAAATTACATCTGAATTCTATCAGACACCATCATCAGATATTCACTCATCCTTCACAATGAGTGAAGATAATATCACCATTGGTATCCAACTATGCTCATATACATGTACTTGGTACACAGAGTGTAATGAATATGTGATATGATAATATTTTTGATGTTATTAAGATTGAAAGTGAATATTTGTGAATGATATTATTATTCTAATGACATGTATGTTGGTTTACAAATCCATCTCTTTAAACCAGTTTTCTTTTGTAACAACTAATTTTCGTACACCTAGTTTTTTTAATCGGCATTACCGGGGGGTATTTGATGCATGTTGATTGAAAGAATGTATGCCACTTTTGAAGATGTCAGTTGTATTTGTTATTTCAAAGATGTGGGTTGAGTTTTTGATGCGTAATTGGCAAATCATTTAATTTTGTATTTTAAATCACAAATAATTTTATTTTATAGATTGAGAGGTAGATGTATAATAGTCATTTGTATTTTTATCAACTTCAAGTTCACTGTGTAAATGCATATGAAATAATTATAAACTGAAAAATTGCTCAATTTCAGAAATTTGTTATTATTTCTACAAAAGAGATCTTTTAAGAATGAAAAAGATGTCTAAGCATTACACTGTAACATGTCATCTTTTTGTTACATTGAACTTAAACTTGGATCTTGCTTTAGCCTTCAGTTGCTTTAGGATGGCTCTTACACCACTTTTTGATCACTGAGAAAATTTTAACAAAAATTCCATATTTAAAAACACTTTTTCCCAAAGAAAAGGAGTTCAAAGAAACTATTGAAGAAATTTTAATAAAAATCCATTATGCTGATACATAATGTCAAGAGAACTATTCAACTTCATCAACAGTTTTGTCCTTGACCTTTTCTTTTCCTTGATTTCACTTTTCTGAAACTATTCAAGATATTTTTATCAAACTTCATATGCACATATATGGGTAACAACATGTTTGACCTTGACCTTTCATTTGACCTTGACCTCAAATGTATTTTGTCTTCAAGAAAGTATTCATAAAGATTTTTTTTTATCAAACTTCATGTTTTAACCTGGGGATGAGAGGAATTCAATGGCATCAACATTTTTTAACTTATCCTTCTTTTGACCTTGACCATGGGCAAAATTATGTATGGAAATAAAAAAAAAACATGCATCTCTGAGATTCTCAGTGTAGTCTATGCATGTGCTTAAATATCGAAATCAGGCCCCATGACCATAAACTGAGAATGGACTTAAGTCAAAATTTCAAATCAATATATTTAACTTTTGAAAAAAAATTGACATTTGGAACTAAATTTGCATCATTTGTTGGAATATAAATATTCTACATAACTGCAATATTTTAAGAACATAATAATTATGTTGAATAAAACTTAAGTTATTTAGAATCAAAATTTTGACTTAAGTCTATTTTCAGTTTATGGTCATGGGGCCAGACCAAAACCTGTAAAGTCGTAGCATTTTGAAAAATTGTTTACAGTCAGATGGACAGACAATGGACACCTTACTACTGTAGATCACTAAATTTTCGCGACACCTTATTTTCGCGAGACAGTCATTGACTCTTGATTAGCGACACAAAATTTTCGCGTATTGTGGTTATTGCTCTATATAATCTTAAGGAATACTATTATACGCGAGAATTAAATTTTCGCGAGCACACTGTCTCGCGTAATTACGCGAAAATAAAGTTCTCGCGAATAAAAAGTGATTTACAGTACTGCATAAGCTCTTCTGGTCTCTGACCAGTTGATTGAAAAAAAAACAAAAAAAAACTCTATATTAGATCTTTGGATCAGGAAAAACTCCAAAATTATTACAGAGTCTAATGACTAGTGGGCTTCTTGTTATTGGGATTAATTCCATGATATTCTACCATATTTCATTCTATTATTTGCCTGCCAACTGAACTCTATCCTTTTTTAACAGATATCTTTTATCTACCACTTTCATATTTTGTAAAAAAATCTATGTACAGTACATACTTCATTTCTTGCAACAGAAAACAGCAACTAGAGCTGTGTAAACTGGATAACAAATGCAAAGTATTTTTCTTATCTTTTAATGTACAAGAAAAAAAAGACTGCAAATATTGCACACAAATGAATATTTTCAACCAGAAAATGAATTTAAAGGAAGAAAAAAATATACGGATAGTGATGGATATTATTATTATTATCGACAGAATAAAATACCTCAGTGGTACAGGTTCACACAAATGGAGATAATCAAAACATTAAAGCATGCCCATTGTGGTAAACAATACATTCCACTGATGACCATATCTTATGTATGATTTAAAGGAAAAAAACAAACCAATATAAACTAACTTCCCTCATAAATACAAATGAAGTTTCAATTAAAGTTTGGATCTGAGTAGTTATGTTTTGTGGTGTCTAAATAGAGATACACAAAACATCAAGAGGATACAAGTTATTCAACCACAGAGAAAATATAGCATTGCATCATTTTTTCGTGAGGATGTTTTGCAATTAAATCTTTTTCATGACAGACATGATTACAATGAAAACCTGCATATACTATTTTTATTTAATTTGACACTGAATACACCAGTATTTAAATTTTTTTTTATCAAAGTACATGTAATTTGATTTAGTATTGCAAAAATCAAGATAGGTAACCATGTAGGTATGCTATAATCAGGTTTTACTTCATACATGTACACTATACAGGTAATTCAGCAATAATTACATTTATTCCACAAAGCACATGAAGCAGAGTACTGTATAAGGTATAAAATATTTTCAAAAATAATTTTAAAGTACATAGCAAGACAGACAAAGACATATTACTAAGATATGTATCATTCACTTCCAATTTCTCGATGCAGTCAATGCAGGAAACATATTTCCTATATTTTTGTCCATTACACATGTGGAGAATTTAGTGCTTCCGTCTGCTACAGAAGTACTATAATATCAATCATAAACTCTGAATATGAAAGATTTTAAATGAGGTATTTCCATTTAAGTATTTCTTTGGACAGAAATAGGATTCACAACAGAACATATATTATAAACTTCATCTTTAGGTAATAAAAATTTATGTGTTATCATTTCAGTAAAACTTTGATAAGCACTAATCATACAGCAAACATTGAGGGAATGATTTAAATATCTGAATCAAGTAACAATTATGGTCAATTGCCCATAGTACATGTACATATCTTAATTCTTTGAAAATCCCAATAATATTTGACACAAACAGTAAAGACAAACAATTAAACACATTAACATTAAAGCCATTTTTAGGAATATCATTCTTAGGATCAGACCAGAAATATTCAATTTAAAATGCTATTCACTGTACTTCACTTTAAAGAAATATATTTAAATTGTAAGGAAATCACACTAATATTTCTTGTAGAATTTATCTCATGTCTATATAAAGTACCCAGCAAAACTCCCCATTTCACACAACATAATACTGATTGACATGTTAAACATATCTCCCTCAGTGCTGTTCTAGCACACAATGCAGGCACTGTTGAAAGACATATTTTCATAATTGACCATAAAAATGGATTATATCTATAAAAAAGAGAAACATTTTTGTTATCAAGCACTGCACTAACCAATAAATCACTTCTGCTTTTGTCCTTTACTCCTGTCCACACAGTTGTAAAAAGTAGACACTTGAAATACAAAGGTCAACACCATTTCAGTATAGTAAAATATAAAAGAACATAATAAGATAAGATCATCATTGATTTATACACAAAAGATATTGTACTAGCAATCAAACATACCATGTTTACATAAAATATAACATTAAAACTTCAACAACTACAACAAAATAATCTAATGAAGTTTTCTGAATAAAAAAGAAACAACCAGAGTTATGGTGAATTTGATTCCAACTAAAGCAAAACTGAAAAAAACATCATTCAGAGGTACTATTAATCACAAATAGGAAGGAAGAGGTACCCTGTCTTACTCCTGATCACTCTCTCCATCACTTGAAAATGTTTGAGCAGCCAGAGTTGTTTGTTTATTTGTCGTCAAGGTGACATGTGGTAGCTGTCTGTAATGGTCCAGCCATTCGTCCACCATTTGTTTAATCATTAATGGCCGCTTCCCCACCTTCTGCAGGGCAACCAAACATCCACCCTTAGTAACCACACAGTCCAACCACTCGTGTAAAATACTCTCCTCACGACCAACCTGAAATAAATTTATAATATATAAGAATTTCTAATATTCTTACAGTTCAGAAGTTAAGGGTCAGTTTGGAATTGTGTGTCAGGAATAAAATGATCCTAATTTTCCCAATAAAAAAAGACTGTGATAATAAAGGATTAATATTGTTAAGGAGAAAAATATAATGGTCTTCCACCAATGTTACATATGGATCAATTAAATTTTACATACTTTCATCCAATTTATATAAATGATTGGCACAGATATATCTTTATCAAATTAATTTTTTTTTCATTTGTTAACTTAGGGATTAATGATGGCAACCATTGCAGAAAAAATTGACACACTATAAATGTATTTTTTCTGCAACCTAATTGCAACAATTAATTCCTCTACTATCTAAAAACCATTTTATTGGTCGAATAACAAAATTAATTTACAACCTCTGATCCCATTAAAAAGGGCACTGGCAGGAGTTTTCCTTCATAATCAACCAGTGGTAAGTAGGCGACTTCATCATCATCATTGGGTTCAATATGAGCCCCCGCCCCCGGAATGCCATCTGTGTCCATTTCCATTGTCACTAGAGCAGAGAAATGCCCCCTTGTATACCCTAATGCTATTGGGGTCTTCCAACAAAATCCATTCTCCCAGAGTAACGGTAAATAAACACCTGAAAATCATTGCACAATTATAACCATAAATATGAAATATATTATACAGTGTACATGTACTGTATGTGTGTGTGTGTGTATGTATTTTATCAGTGACTTTAAGATCTACTTATGTACACATTTTAAATTAAATATTCACAACGTATTATCAAACCATGCTAATATCAAATCTACATCATTTTTCAACACTTTATGTTACATGATACTATGATTTTCTGTATCACCTTGAAATCTTGCTAATCCTAAAGACTCTCCCCTGAAACTTTTGACATACTTCACTCCATACACAATGATAGGTCTACGAAGAATATGGGCTAATGCAAATATATGAGTCTGTTCTAAAGAAGCACCTGTAGAAAGATAAAGAATAAGATGAAAATTCAGGCAAATTTCTAAATTTCATATTTACAAGTACAGTATAATTCATATACTTTGAACACTGATATAGTGAATTTATAGTACAGCAAAATCATTATGGATTTCCAGCAAAATTATTCACAATTTCGGGTGGAATTTAACATTTATAATGAACTCTGACATTACAAATTTAAAATAAATCAATGTTTATATAGATTTCATAGAGGTGAAAAAACAAAATTTAGACCTTTAACAGCAAACATTTTATATTTCCGTTCATTTCAGTTTACCATGCTGAACTTACCAGGTTGACTTGCTAAGTTTAAGAGTTCTGCCCAATCATTCTGCCATTGTGCCTCGTCCAAAGAAAACTGCAGGCTCTCAGCATGCATTGATTCATATTCCTTCCATCTAGGGTAGAACCTATGTATTAAACAAAAAACGGATTAGTTACATCCTGTATTCATTTTTGCAACAGATTATCCCAACAAGTTAACACAATTAAACTTTTCAGTTTTCATATACATCTAATTCTTACATCATAGCACCATCAGTAATACTCTCAGAGAGGGCTTGTCTGAGTGTGTTTTCTGAGTCAAACACTCCCCAGGTTGCCTGTAGTACCGAGTCCAGAAGGCAGTCTCCTGCAGTTCGATTCCAAAGTGCATACAGACGACTTCCTAACCTTACTGTAAGCTCCAAACTCCAGTTTATCACCAAATCATCCTCCAGTTCTACAACATTGAAAAGTTTCTGTAAAGTATCAGGTGCTTCACTATTCAGATCTTTCATGATACTTCATGTTAAGTGCATAACACAACCATTTTATTGGTAAATACATGTCTTTTCCAAAAGTCTTTACTAAAATAATTTTCTTTCTATGTATTTTAGGTCCAAGTTATACAATGTTACCTTTTTGTACATCTTCATCTAGAATTTCACTGAACACCTGTGACTGTACAGACTGAGGTAAATCCATAACACCTGTCAAAAGACATGAACAAAACCTCAATATATTTCACTGTGTCATAGAAAATAACAAATCAATATCCAATGAAATAAGCTATGCAGGATGTTTAGTATTCAAATTAGTGAGAAAAAACATAAACATTTGTAATGAATCTTTCAAAATGTTGTAATTAAATACCTGAGGGTAAAGCAAATGTCACACAATCTGAAAAGAACTGGCAAGGGAATTCCCCCTTTCCTCCCTTCCTTTGTCTCAGTATTGAGGAAATTTCTCGACGGATTTCTGCTGCAACATCGGGACAAACATGGGATGGCAAGCGTTTAAGTCCCTTAGCATTGGATTCAGTACTTGTAAGAAGGACAGCAAGCATGTCATCTCTCTTGAATCTTATGGCAAGATGGACAAGTGTGTATCCTACTTCAAATGCACTGGGTCTGTTTAATAAAGCCACTTCTTCTTGGGTTAGCTGCCGCGAAGGATCACCACCTGAGGTGATAAATGACTCAATGGCTCCTAAATCTCCAATCACTACACCAACACATGCATTCAACCACAACCAATCTTTCTCTCTCATGCACTTCCTGATCTGTTTAAGTCTTTTTTCTGTAGCTTTGTTGTCATCAGATGTTACAGCACCAGAGGTTGAAGGGTCTTGTAATTCTACAGACTGATTGTCACTCTGAGGGGATCCACCCCCGCACGCCAAGGTGGGGGAAGAAGGCCCTGTCTGTTTGGAGGTAATTTCAGTGGGTGATAAAGAAGGTGGTGAGGTGATGATCTCTGGAGAAGTTCTTCCTTTACTTGTTCCACACATAACACATTTTACAGTTTTGGGCCAGTTTTCATATGTGCAGGCTTTGCAGGTCCATTTTATTTTTGCATATTTTGAATATGATTTATTAATATCATTATTGGATGAACATTTTGCTGCCTTTGGGGATCCAGGTGTTACTTCCCTTGCTGGAGTTGTCCTTCCTGATCTAGAACTCTCCCCTAAGTGAGCTGCCGATGTTTCATTCCTGGTCTTGCTCCTCTGCTTAGGTGACTGACTTCCAGGTGACAAATTCTTCCTTGGTCGCAAACACTGAGTGCACTTACTGGACTTGGGCCAATTTAGATATGTACAGGCTGAGCATGCCCATTTTGTACCTTGCACTGCATCACTGCTACTGACGTGGGATGAGTTTAAGGGCACTGTGTTGCTTTCCTTGTTGTGTCCCATGGAAGCTGCCATTTTGTAGATATCCTGTTCCTCATTTTCAAAGTCTGAGATTGGTGTATCCTGTCTCCTTACATTACATATTGTACACTTTGTAGCCACTTGAAAATTCTGGTAGGTACAAAACTGACATTTCCACTTGTCCGACTCAGTCATTCTGGATCTCTTGCACCTTGCACACTCCTGGCTGCCAAAAAATAAAAAAAAATTTTAAAAATATTTTCAACATTGAGTTCTATTTCAATTCTATGCTAATTTTATTTCAATTTCACCAGCTCTACATTAAATAATAAAGTGCCCCGCCACAGCATGATACGCCCGTCAAATATTGTTCAATAATCATAAATTGGTTAGGATACAAAAAAATCAGGTAGCCATGATTAACAGATTGACAAAGATTTCAATGACCTAATTTCCATTTCTTATTATACATCTCTAAGAGACTTACAGCGTAGGGATTAATTATAACAAATAAAACTAGTGCTAATTGTAACGGGGACCGTTACAGATGTTCCCCAAACGCTCCCAAACTCCCTTTTATAGTCATATTCCCTGTAAGCATAATTAAAGAAGACAAACTCTATGCATTTAAGACTTTAACAACGTTTACCCAGAAGTGTACTATGTTCATTCAAATTTTATCATTGCACACTTGCGCATGTGAATGCTTGTGCATACTGACCATATCATATTGTCTAAACAATCTATATATTTTAATATGTTAAATATTAAAGTATTTAATCCAAAAGTATTAAAAAAACGCTCATTCAAGTGTATTTTTGATTTTACCCATTTCACGTGCACGCACGTGCATACATGAGCATGGTGACCATACCTTCTTGTAGAAGTTCATTACATGTATATATGTTCTAAATCCCACCCCGTTTGGTTGAAAACCAAGGGAGTTATAGCTGTTTAAAGTTTCAGCCAATCAGATTGTAGCGCACGTACACACACATGTATGCATGTGCATGGTGACCATTCCTTCTTGTAGAAGTCCGTCATATATATCTTTGTTCCAAATCCCATCCTGTTTGGTTGAAAAGAAAGGGAGTTATAGCTGTTTAAAGTTTCAGCCAATCAGATTGCAGCGCACGTATACGCACGTGTATGCATGTGCATGGTGACCATACCTTCTTGTAGAAGTCCATCATATATATCTATGTTCCAAATCCCATCCTGTTTGGTTGAAAACCAAGGGAGTTATAGCTATTTAAAGTTTCAGCCAATCAGATTGCAGCGCACGTGCATGCACGTGCTTTCATGATAATTGCTATATATCATGTTTTAGGACATCCTAAAGCATGGCTATGTTCAAAATTTCAAAGGATTTCATCAAAAAACAAGAAAGATATTGAGACTTTAGTTTCAGCCAATCAGAGTGAAGAGCACGTGCATGCACGTGAGATCTTGCTATTTTGACCATGTCATATTGTCTATGCTACTACTATATCCTTATATTATGAGTTTCAAAGCATTTCATCAAAACGGTAAAGATTTACGTCTATATCAATTAAATTCGTCATTTCACGTGTTGCTCGTGCGCGCTCTTGCATGCACGTGCACACAAAATGGCATGTTGACAATGTCATCTTATCTACATTTATTATATGTCTACATATTCTAAATATCAAAGCATTACATCGAAAAATGTATATTGGTCATTTCACGTGTTGCACGTGCGCGCTCTTGCAAGCACGTGCGCGCAAAATGACCTTCGTTCCGCAAATCTACATAACATGCCTACTTACCCTAAAAAGGTTTCCCCTTAATCGGATGTGTACTTTACAAGATCATTCGCGGACAAAATTTTCCCGAGAAGAAAAATAATAATAATAATAATAAGAAACAGAGTAAAAACAATATGTTCCCCAACTTCGTTTGGGGAACATAACTAGTGAGACATGACTGCAATTTGTGGCAAATATATAAAAATTGAAATATATATATTTTTTTTAAATGAACACATATATAATTAGTTTTAATCATATTGTACAATACTAATTTAGTTTTAATCATACACTAAAACATCAATTTGTTTTAATTTCATTACACCTATTGAAAGATCTTTATCTGGACTAGCCATCAAGAACTCTTAATTAGAACAGGCAACTATGAGGCCATTTCTTTTTGCCCAACTCCCAAGAGATAAATTAACATCTGCTTCAGATCTAGAGGTGCTCTTAGCTCCTGACAATAAACTCATTAATCTCTCTCTAATTTGACATGCAAATTTCTGCTATCAAAATTCTTCTTGACCAGTGCTTGATAATTAAGCCCATGGGACAAACTGAATTCCTCTCAAAGCATAAACATTTGTTACAGATTGCTGTAAAGTATATAAAAAAAAAAATAAGTTTTTACTTAATTTAATGTTTTTTAATAAGGATACAACTATATTTTTACATTTTTTAGGATTATGACATTTAGAATTTAAAAGACATAGTTTTTTAAAAAAAATCACTATAATTAAAGGTCACAGTGACCTTGAAATAGGCCGCGACACACCTTCTACTTTAGATGTATACTTTTGCCAAGTTTGAAAGCTCTAGGTCTAATAGTTTTCTAGTTATGAGCCGGACAGGATTTTTCCATATTTGGCTATAGCATCTTTATTAAAGGTCAGAGCGACCTACTTTTTGTGCGCGACACACCGTCTACCCAAGAAGTATGAGTTGACAAAGTTTGATAATCCTAAGCCTAATAGTATTCAAGTTATGAGCCGGACAGGAATGGACAGACGGACAGACAGACGGACGGACAGATGGACGGACGGACACGAAGCCTATAACATAATACGTCCCGTCTTAAGACGGGCGTATAAAAAGTCTGTTTTACTCAAAGTATATGGCAAGAATACATTTCTGCTACACAGAATCAAAAAAGACAACTCTCAACATACTCAAAGTTGACTTCCAAGAAGGTAGCCAAAGGAAAATAACTCCAAAGGGAAGTTTTCTATAGATATAAATCTATATCTATTTATAGATATGTTTTGACACAAATAGTAGCCAGGTAACTACAAAAGTGGTCATGCAGGCTCACTCAATTAGCCGTAGTAAGAATTCATTCACCATCCCTGCTGGGTATTATGTCTTAAAGGTACTAGTGTCTATATCAACCCCTGAATATAAGAACAGATGCAGTGCAGCACTGTATCATGTCCTGTGTTCTTCTTATGGTGGTGGTAAGTTTTCTCACAAAATAATTCTAAAGTGGAGACTGGAGAGATGTGGAATATGAAAACTATATATCCCTCAATACAAATATAATATCTTCTGTCTGTATGTTTGCACTTGAATGTGAGATTTAATGACTACTGTTTGGGCTGTGGATATCAGCCCAGGTAGCTCAGTCAGTAGAGCACCTGACTAGCCATGCAGGTGTCCGGGTTCGATTTCTGGTCCATTCATACATGTTACAGATCTTTAGTTGGAGATCTGTAGCTCACTCATCTGAAAAAATATGGATGGACTACCAGAGAGGTACAGTGTCCCCATTGAAAATAAGGACAAACAGAAAAATTTGTTAACCAAAACATAGGTGTTGGAACCGGTTCCATGTTCGTTTGCCCGATTTCTCGTTCGCCAAGAGTCCGCTCGCCCTAAAAATTGTTCACACAGGGTCCGTTTGCTCTCATTTAATTAAGAAATAAGGTATCATTTTTTGAGTTTTATTGGGATGTAAAACGGGTTGGTCACGTGATCAAATCTCATAAAGCTTGAAGGGCTTTATGTAAGATTTGATCATGTGCCAACCCGTTTTACATCTCAAAAAATGATACATTATTACTTATATTTACATTTGTGACTTATTTATTACAAATAGTAATGTATTTAACTAAAGTTTGAAACCCATAACGTTTTTTTTACAAAACTCAACGGTATAAATTGAATGTGTTTATAACGTTGATCGCTTATGACATCTCAGTCCTTTAATTGTTTTCAAAACACAGCGCAATTCGTAAAAATAACACGGATGTATCCCCCTAATTAACATTGATATTAATCATATTCAATCATCTTATTAACTATAGAGCAAACACTAAGTCATTCAAAAAACATTAGAATCAAATCAAAAATTAAGACTAAATGAACAGAATTTGAGAAAAAATATCCCAAGTTCGTAAAGGAAATGGAAATGATATAAGTTATTTTTTAATTCATATGAGTTTATATATACAAGTATATATATAAGTATTGGGCGAACCACATATATGGAGAACAAGATATTGGGCGAAAAATATTTCGGGCGAATGGACTTTGTGCGAACGGACTCCCGCAAACAGGTAGATCGGGTGAACAAACCCGTTATCGTTGGAACCGGGGGGCTAGGGGGGCTTAGCCCCCCCCCCCCCACTTTTTTTGCAAATGTATACATAATATTAAAAATTGAGGTCTACCTTTTTTTGTTGGTTTAGCCCCCCCCCCACTTTCAATTAGCCCCCCTCCCCCACTTTCAATTAGCTTCCGACGCCTTTGCAAAAGTTATTTCTTTAAAATAAGTATTTCTTGATGCAGATTTGTGATTATAAATTTATTGCCAGAATAAAAAAAATCATAATTTGTTCAGTAAATCTAAATCTCGGTCATCTGGGATATTATAATAATTATATCCCAATCGGACTAAATAATCTCCGATTTGGGCCAGAGCTCAGAATGGCCTCAACCTGTATATGAGAGAAGCAGGTAGTGAAACGAATCAGTAAGGTAACGAACTTTGTGAATGCAACAACTACATTAATTCCCTAGTCTAAAACAAAGGTAGGCCTATAATAACAAGAGATGGACTAGCATATTGAATTACATAAACATCTACACTTATATCATTACCAGGAAAGACAGGAAAGAAGTTTTTTTAAGGATCACATAGTGGGCTCCAAACCAAAACAAAGATTTTTCTTCTGTATATGGATGACGTCACATCTAAGTGGTGTCCAGTCAAGTCGTACCCATACCGACTCGTACCCCAGATCTTTAGGCCTCATATTATCTGAGCTTGGTAGGCTCCCCCTTCATTTTGATTTTATAAAAAGTATTTTGAATTATGTCCATAGGTTAGAAAGTCATTTCCATTATTGAGAGCAGCATACTCTCAAAGTAAGATTAATTGGAGTAACATCCTAGCTGGTATTGAACATTTAGTAAAATTGCAGAAATTTTTTTGGGACTTGAAAAATATTTACTATGCCTGCCATTTGAACAAAGAAAATTAATATGTTTCTTTTTTTCTTTTATTTATTTTTAGTCAAAAAAGTTCGGTAGATGTAGGGGGCTTAAAATGATCGACTTAAAGCAACGCCTTTTTCTTAAGAAAATGGAGCAATTTTGATTTTCCATGCTACGAAAATTTTTCATGGCGTTTTACTGTACTTAAAATTTTCTAGTTTTTATCTATTTTAAGTAAACTCAAATTTATGTTTTCAACGTCAAACCAGTAATGTAAATATTTGGGTATAGCACAGGCATCAGAACCGGGAGGAAGGGCTTAATCCCCCTCTTGTTTTGCAAAGATATACTTGTACATAATATAGGCATTGAAAATTGGGGCTTACCTTTTTTTGTTCCCTACCCACTTTTAACAATCCCCAACCCCCACTTTCAATTTGCTACCCACGCCTATGTAGACCTACATAGGGAAGATAAGAGTTGGACTGAGAGACCTTCTACCTGTCTTCTCCTCCTTCTCGATAAGGGTTAATCATTTCATGTTTTTCGAATTGAAACATATGAAGATGACGAACAGTATTCAAGAACTAAAGTCCATAAAACAATACAAAATCGGAGCATAGCAACTCAGAAACACGGACCTCCAAAACATCAGAGGTGGGATCAGGAAAGATATACCCGTATAAGCGGAATTTTTAGCTCGCTAAAATCAAATATCGCTAAAAATATAAACTTTCTTTAATTTCTAATAGCTTCTTTAATGAGCATTTTAAATTCGCTAAAATTACTTCTTGCTAAAATAAGATACCATATTTTGAGGACAATTAATTCGCTAAATTTGCGTCTCGCTAAAATTTCCACTTATACGGGCATAACAAAATCATGCTCTCTATTACTTAAATCTAAGTCCAGAATTTTTGTTTTATACTTTTTTTTCAAATGCGTTAATTAAGTGTCTCCATGGTGAAATATGTTGATGTACACTCTGAACGCAATTTAAAAAGAAAAAATTCAGAGTGCCTTATGTTGTTCCACTAATTACAACGTTTTAAAAAAAGACGTTTGAACAGTTTACAAACCCTCTATTTTTGGGGGTTTTTTTCTTCTTGGATTTCTATGAGTTATTAGCTCTCCTTATTTTAAAACGTGCATCAGTAAATTTTACAGTGATCTAAAATTCTTGGTTTAAATGAAATGAATGTAGGCACCTAAATGTCAGTGCTTTTTTTTTTTTTAATTAAATTTCAATTTATGTTATTGACAACACCATCATACACTGGCAAATAGTCGTGAATACAACAAATTAACACGAATAAAGATTTTTTTAAAAATGAAGAAAAAAAAAGAATATCAGTTTGATGAATGTTTTCTCTCTTATTATCAAAGCACTTAAGGTCAAGATCTAGTAAATAACTTGAGACTAATTTTTTGGTGCTAGATCCATTATGACGTCATAATCAATTTCAACTTTCTTTTCCCCGTAACGGCTTTAGCAGAATTATGCAGAAAATTATTTTCATGTCAAGTTTGAAATCATATAAAAGTAAACCGGATACCTATATTAAATTTGAGATTGATTTACAGATATATATTTTCTTTGCCGAATACGAAAAAAACTCCCATTTTCATGTCTGGTTTTCTTAATTTTTCATTAAAAATGACATTTTAAAATACAGTTTTTCATCTTGTATATCTACAAATTATGCCCCGAAACACCTTATCTGACCAAGCTAAAGTTGCGAAGCATCAATGAAGGAATTTATTTCTCAAGTTTGATACTTTCATTTACTAGATCTTGACCTTAATTATTTAAAAAGAGTTTTCTTAATTTACCATATAGCAAAGAAAAATATTTACATATATATATAGTATATGAAAAATAAGATTTACAATATGACAGATTGGATTTATGGCGAGCAGGGTACAGGGCGAACGAGAATTATGGCGAAGGATGCTGGCGAACAGAGCGTGAAAGGACCTGATACCTTCAGGAGCGAAACGATTTCGGCGCGAAACAACCATATCCCTCTTAGCCCCCCCCCCTTTCCCGTGTGAACTCCGTCTTTTCCCTGCATATGCTTCATTCAAAAAACTTTCTTCATATTTGTGTGAAAGTACGGGTGAATTTTAAGCATTTAAGGTATTAAAAAAAATTATTTAGTTATGTCTAGATAATCTCGAGTGATCATGGTAAACTTCCGGTTGTTATATTACTTCCGGTAAGAGAGAGGGACACAATTTATCTCTGAAAAAACCTGTAAGTACTTTCATTCTTTACATTTTAGCTCAAGAGTTTTCATATATTTCCAGTATTGACTGGTAAATGGGGGTGATTTGATTCAGCAAGAACTTTTAACTTTAATTTTACTCTATTTCTTCCCCGAGACATGAATCTACCAAAACTGCAAAAGGATTGCAAATCAACAGTGTCTATTAAAAGTTGCAAGTATTTGATCATTTATATACTATGGATTATCAAAGAATCAACCCATTTTATTAAAGATAGTTTCGAAATTGCAATTTTTGAATGCTTTTAAGCAAAAGATTTATTTTTATTGTTAGCATACAAAAATTATGGAAAAAATGTGAAAAAATAGCTAAATCGAGCTATTCTGAATAGATGATAAGGCTTTACAGGCAGGGTTCAACATTAACGCTTGTCCAGTAACAGTGAAAAAAATTACAGACGTTCACAAGTAAATATTGCTGGAAACTTGTCCGATTGGACAAGTGCATTTTAATGTAAAGGAGTCTCTAAATAATAAAAAGAACGAGTCTTACGACTGTTGAAAGTTAATCAGTAGTTTCAAGACGGAAGCTGTACATAAAACCAGACTTCAATCCCAATTTGGATCGCTATTTATTGAGTTCGCATTCGATGGGATCTGAGTTCTCTAATTGCATACTTCTGGAAAGGCATGGAACTTACAAAGTTTGGATTCTGTTTGATGTTGACAGGTTCACTTGTGAACTTTTATGTTGTTGTCAGGACAGAAAGCCTAGATAACATTTCATTTCATGTGTTTGTTGTATTTATCAATAATATACACCAAGTCAATCAAAATTTATTGAAAATTTTTCGGAAAAGTGAAGTTGAAGTTCAGACAAGTTAATGTCTTGGTCACTTCTCCAAATGGACAAGTAGGGAAAAAGTTAATGTACATTGATGAAGAGCCCTGCTTTATGGCTAACATATTGAATTTCATCATGAGAGCACAGTACTGTCTGTAGCACATTAATACAATTAATTATGTGTATTACTTATGGAAATTTTACTGGTACATAATTCTTAGTAACACTAAATACTGGACAACATGAATATTTTCATACTTAGTTTATCATAAATGAATGTAACCCCCCCCCCCCCCCCCCGGTATCTCAAACACTGATATCTCAAATAGCATGGATATGTCAAAGTCAATTTGGAAGTCCCAATTCCCAATTACTTATTTTTTGAGTATTTTACCCTGGATATCTTGAATCCATGATTATCTCATTGTTTTCCTTGAGTTCAGGATAACACAAGGTTTGACTGTAAATGATTCTTGATCACACTGTATATATAGCCAAGAGTGTTTTACACTGAAAGTCATCTTTTTGTTTCAGCATAGAACTTTTTTGGGGGTATTACGTAATTTGCATAGAGTGACTAAAATATTTTATGACCCTGGCAATAAGCAAGCCTTGGTATTCAATAAAAATATGAGGAAACTAAAAATTCAGCTTTATTTTATAGTTTAATTGAATTATCATCAATTACTCAGCGGAAATAGATACCATTTTTTATTAGAAAAAACATTATGTCTCATTTATACCCTGATTACAGTAGACATAGACAGACAGGGAAAGACAGGATTACTTAGTCACTATTGAAGAATGCATGTTATCAGCATGAGGATTGAGGGAAAAAAATAAAACAAGGATGTGTGCAAAAGCAAAAGAGGACTTTTTAAACATGTTAAAGTGTTTTGCTCACAAGTCAGTGAAGTCAAAACATTATATATTATTAGTTAAGTTGTTGAAAGGAAGCTGGGGGATATGATACATGCCTTACAATTTAATTGATATGATGGCAATTTTACTTAAATGTACTAGATAAAAGATTGTATAACTTTACTTATATCTTCATGATCACTAAAAGTTATTCACACTGCAAGCTTTTATAAAAATATCATGTATATATTGCTAAGAATAAGATTAATCATAACCTCTTGTATATTATAAACAGGCATGAATAATCTGATACTTTAGGGTTTTGATTTTATAGTGTTAGATTACAGAGAATTGGAGGTACACGGATACAACAGATGGTCGATTAGCCAGAGTTTGTACTGACTTTTTTCTACCTTGTCCAGTATATATTAAGGTCTGCTTTGTTTAATGTGAGGATTATATACCCACCGTTGCTGTTTTTCATAGCTAGATAGTAACAAAAACCACCACACAAAGACTATAGTATGGTTTAAATGCCCTTATGTTACACTTTTATTGACCAGACTTTGAGCATGTTAACATTGGAAAGGGTAAGACCTTTAATTGTGCACTACCAATATATGAACATGCAAGTTACTGATTTTGCGGAGAAATTCCTGTTTGTTTTTATTGTGAATGTTATTTAATCTGATTTTCTTCATAAAAGTTAATATTTACCAAAAAAAGTATGTGAAAAAATAAATGCAAAAAGTTTTGGAATATAATGTTCTGTACATGTACTTAAAATAAGAGGGCTTCAATCATGTTTTAGGGGCATTGGCACAAACAATTATGCACTA